CTTATGAAAATCGCTGAAAATGCACCCTCCGAATGCCTAGAGTTTACTCTGACTCGACCTCACTCGAAAAATTAAGCTTAGGGCAGCCCAGTAACAAAGTGAACAGCTTGAAACTGCACATAATCCAAGTATCGTAGAAAAGAAGTTGAAATCCCGATTCCAAGTAAAGCGATGCTACACACTCCAGGACAGAATTACTGAACCCCCCCCCCTCCTAAACTTTACCCATTGAAGCCGCTTCAGAATTCCGAAACACGTCCGCGTCGATATTATTACTTACTTACTTTATTGCGGCTGGCTCCTTGGAAAGGATAAGCTCCAGACATGATCATGAAGTTCCTTGGGAGTTCGAGAGACGTCCCCAGCGTCCCTCGGCGTTTTTTTTTATTTTGAGGGAGCACCTCTAGCCTTTGCACAACCAAGTGCGGACTGCAAGGCAGCAGGAAACAATTCCTCACCTCGGAAGTGAGGGGGTCAATGATTTTAAAAGGCCACTCACATCGACCTTCGTGACTATACCGTCATTGAGCTTATGCGGCTTTTAAGCAGGAGCCAGGTGACCAGCCTGAAACCCACCAAAATCTTGCAACGAACGAAGTAAAGCAAGTAATTTTGGCTATCGCTGGATAGGGCACGTGGTACCATTATGAAGTTTTAATTGTTAATCCGCTTGCTGAAGTAACGTTCTTCTTTCCATGTATCGTGCCAGTAGGACTTCGACACGTCGTCGCTAAAGTAGACGAAATTCCATTCAGTTACTATAGTTACATGAGTTTCGGTTCCTAATGGAAGATTTTCTGTTTCTGAAGTTGTTAGAGTTATACATTCACACATTTTTTTCTATTTCATGGAAGAGACCATTTAAGTGCTGATTGTATCATTCGCATCACAACGTTCAACTTACGCTCCGCTTTCATTTCCTTGACTTGACAAACGGAGTTTGGGGCCACATTGATATGCCCTTAGTTTCCACGAGCGTTTTTTCCAACCCGTTCATAACTGCGGTTTTAGCTAGCTCCACGTCAAAGTGTTACCAGGAACTATTACACTAACCGTGCTGAAAATGATCTCAGGAAAGGTATCAGCTCTGGGTTTATCGCTATCAGCAAGCCTTTTATTGACAATGACTTGGATGCGTTAGTTCTCTTAAGGTCATCGAGAGTAACGTGCGCATAAGGTCACCGTCATCAGGGTGGTACATGACCGTAGCTTTTATCAGTCTATCGACACTGACTCACCACGGCTATCATACCCAATTACGAACTCGGGATGTTTGCCNATGTTTGCCAGACCCGTTTTTAAACCTAGTTGAGTGTGCGAATTCTGTGGAAGCTGCAATACTTTTTAGGGTGATAATGCTGTTTTTTTCGTTTTTTCTTCGCTTTAATAAGAAGCAGTTTGATGAAATTTTATATTTCGGCTTTGTGTTCGGCTGCGTCTAGATTCTTCAACGTTGATAATCGTGCATTTGGGAGCGAGAAAAACACTAATGTAGATTGGTGCAATAATTTTATCCGAAGTGTGCTGTTTATCAGATACATGTGCTTTGTTGTGCCGATAACTGGGCCGGTTAGAACCTACGCACGATGCGCTGAATCCAAGTTGCCTGATAGTTTCTTAGTTGCGTTTAGCTACTCCTGAGTAGTAAAGATGAGGATACATTGGTAAAACAAATTAGTCGGGTTTCTGGAACGGTGGAGGGATGACCGTAAAGATCCAGTATTAATAAGCCTCATAGAACGTTGAAAAAGAACAGACGATTGAAAAAAGAATATTCTGGTACCAAGTATGTATTTTATCAAGGCTGGAACAGCACCTATGCTCTTCGCGCTCGAACAATGTAAATGTGGACAGTGGAAAGAAAGGAAAGTACATTAGCAACGCAACTTTTCAATCCCTAAACTTCGACCAGAAAATCAGGAAGGAATAGTACAAATGTGTACTTTTTAATCACCCTACGTCGTGAAAAGATGACTGAACCAATAACTCTAGCGGTATCAAGAAGAGTTCAAAATGAGATCTGCTTTGGAACTGAAATACCCGTTTACGAGAAAGATATTTTCTAGAATCCAGCCAGAATTCGGTACAATTCAGAGTAAGGCAACACAGTTATTCGCACGATCTTGGCGTTACATCTTGCCATTACTGAAAGCATTCAAACATCACGCTTGCCACAAGACATTCTACATATTCAATTCGTAAAAACGTCAGGACATGACTGCACCTAAAGTTCACTTCAGTTGTGTGTGACGTTAAGGGACGATAACCTGCAGGGACAGAAGACTCAGGTTTAAATTGGGAATATTTAAATGTCTGAAGAAAACCGTAAAAACATCTGATAAATACCCTCCTCGGTTCCGCAAATCGATTATGAAACAACTTCAATGAAAAGGGAGAATACCACATCATTCAGTCACGTACGCAAACTTGCTATGCAGTGAAACACGAGAAAATCGATGATTGGACAAGACCAGGGGGACAAAATGGTTTACGCAAAACGCTTATATACCCTAACGGTGATTCACAATCAAACAAATGCTCGTTTTTATCAAGAGTGCTGCAATAAAGCAGAACTGTTATACGCGATCGTGCACACACTTATGCGTTGTTTCAATGACTAAATATAGCATTTACATCAAGTATGAACAGTCCAGAGTGGATTAAACCACCATTAGAATTTTCTTTGATATCTCTACAG